ATATGATTCTCTCTTATAAAAATCATCATATCAATAACAACTGATTTTTATAATCTGTAAATGAATAACAGTAGAATCTAGTAAAAATATAAAAATATACAAACCAATAACTATAGAATCTTAAACTCTAATAAATTTTATAAATCAATTCTCCAATAACACTCTGAGACAAGTCAAGCAAGAGAGGAAAACTAGGAGACGGTACAATGAATTGAGAGATAGGAAGATACAAAACCAAAGTGATAATAACTTCTACTAATAAGTTGTATCGACTCTATTATTTTCCTTGATGTATGGGGCTAAAACCCATAAGAAAAATTTGGGACAATGTTTGACTGGGTGGGCTGAAATCGTTCTTTTCAGTAAAATAAAGTTCATAACCTAAAATTACTTTTTCGAATAAAAAATTAAACCAATAGAAGTTGTTTCGATAATCAATAAACGATAACCATAATGTCATATGCGAATGCTAGATGCGATACAACCAGCTGAGTGGCGTTTGGGTGAAAACTTCCATTATTTGATGTTACTAGTATCTTAAAACTATGAAAATCGTTCACCTAATGACCTCATCTATATAAGTGAAACATATTTTCCGATACTTTATAAGAAAATATCAATTTTATTTTAGTGTTCCTTTGTTTCATAATAAGTTATTTTAGCTAAAAAGGTGAAGACAATATAAAATTATTTTTCATTAAAAGTATTATCTGAAATATAAATATAAAATAATTCAGCTAATTTTAAAAAAGACTAATTGGTCACATAGTATTCAATAAATATAACACTTGTATAGAAATATGAAAACACCTTATATTTAATTTAAAAAAAAATCTTTAAAATATTTATAATATGTATGTAACAGAAGGAGTATCTTATTTAAGAATTGCTTAAATTACTTTCTATTGTAAAAAGATTGATTTTAAATAAGATTTTTTTTACATGTTAAATAAGATTATTAATATGTACACGCTTATGTTTCTTATGTTTCTAACACTTATCTGCTTTCTGAATTTATTTTTATTGGACCGTTACTATGCTTTGAAACTATTTACTTTCTGCATACACACCTTTGATCTCATGCAATCAGACTTAAAAAAATATATGTTATTTGAGAGTTTGCTGATGTGGACACCCTAGATGGAGAGAAAACTCTCCTATTATATAATAGACTATGGGCTGATCCGCGCTTTGCGCAGAATTTTGTATTGTATTTATTGACATATTTAAAAGAAAACTCTATAATATCAATTTTTTTTCATTAAATTTTGTATCGGAATTTAATATATATATTTATAGCATTTAATAATTTTATATGCAACATTAAAAAAATAATCAAATAATCAAATAATGTATCAATTAAAACTTCAAATCAAATTTAATTTGTAGATATCTTTATATTTATATGGGTTTATGATTTTCGAATATATACAATTCTTGATTATTGCATTCAGGAAAAAAATATATGTAATAGGCAATTAATTAGTTGAAAATATCTCGATTCTCTAACGTATTTCCAAAATATATTCATAATCTCTCTTTTTCTCTACACACATTTCCCTTTCCATCTCCCTCTTCCTCTCCTTCTCCATCTCCATCTCCATCTCCCTCTCCCTCTCATTCTCACTCTCCTTTTTCCTCTTATGTTCTCTCTCCCTCGTCAATGCAACATGTTGAACCACACACAACATATTGGACCGGTTGAAATTTCTATCTTTCTCAGGTTTTTCTTTTTTCTAGTCACTCTCAATGTCACCTCTCTAACCTGAGCTCTGTATAATTTTTAAGGGAAACTTTACCCATTTTATGTTTCAAAGATTAGGTTGAACATGTTAATATTTTGTGGTACCACAATTTGTTTCACAAAATATGCATTTTCACATCTCTATATTATTATTTAAGTAGTCATTTTAAAAACTAAATTTTGTTTTGTAAATTATTACATGATATGCTATTACAAATAACAAAAATAATTAAAATAGAAAATGATATAATTGTCACTCAAGCTTTTTGAAACTCGTGCGAATATTTCTTACCCGTTAATATGCATTTAATTTTATAATCTATTATTCTAACTTTCTTTAAATTTATGTCTTTTGTTATATTCTGGTGTTTTATAACGGTTTTAAAAGAAATTTGAATATTTTTAGATATTAAAAAATTCGGATCAGAGAATTTTTTTCTCGGATTTGGCAAAATTGGACCCAAGTCCGGCTATTTAATATTTTACGATTTACTATTAATATCTATCGAATCATATAAATAAATTCATTAATATATAAATTATTATTTATAAAGAGTGTCTTTTCATATTCTTGATAAATTAATGGATGATAGTTAAAGTATAATGACACAAAATATAATAAATTATAAATTAATAAATGCATTGATGTTGTGTCAAAATTTTAGAGTTTAAGAAAATGATGTGGCATCATGAGAAGAGAGGACATTTTACTTTATATATATAGATTTTTTTAAGCTGAGAAGTTAAGAACTTCTCATTTTTTATGGTTCCAACCCTGAACCTGTAATGGAGTTCATAGAATTTTTTTTTTTAAATTGCAATTTTTAGTTTGTAACATATATCCTTGATTACAAACCAAATTATTATTCATGCAATGAAAATTTTAAAATACAAAATACATATATTGAATACATATTGAACATCTATCTAATCGCTTAAACACAACCGAATACAGTTTCAGATTTGCTGAAAACGGATGTCTTTCTCTTATGCATACCCAAATGGTCACTGTTAATTACAGAGTCAACACATAATAAAACCAACAGTCTCTCTTATTCTTTTGTCTTCAAGTTCTGAGCAGAAAAAAAAAACATTTTGAAGAACAGAGCAGTGAAGAAAACACGCTTTAGTTTGATGAGCACATCACTTGATAGGCCTCTATGGCTCTCCTCCAAGCTCCACTCTCAGGTTGACATACGGATACACTCGTGGTGTCTGCTGCAACAACACAGTAAGAGATGATCATGAAATGGAAAAACAAGTACCACAATGAGATGGAAAAAAAACACAAAAGCAGATAGCTGAGACGTCATGGAACGACTACTAGAGTAAAAAAACATCAGCAGCAATTCATCTTACAGACAAGAAGCCAGAGAGCATATTCTATAAGACTCATGGTATAGCCTTGATACAAAGTCACGATGCTTGGCCAGTGGCCATTAAGAGAACCAACTCATAGATTAACGGGATGAACATTAAAAAAAAAAAGCAATTTGTTCCCTAAACACTATATTAAGAAATTATCTCCAGCTCGTCTATTAATCGGAATAATAATAGACTTTAGCTGCTGATACACCTCTAGCTAGAGGCTTCTTGTTTTTTCTTACACGCGTATGAGCTTAAGCATGCACCAAGTTCCCAAGAACATTGTGGGTGTTTCCAATAACTATGCACAGGCTCAATCAACTAATCAATGATGGTGAAAACAATGTTGATAAAAGATCCATCTCTTCCAATACTTTGGTCAGAATTAATAGCAAACCGCAAGAATATGTCGTTTATGTTCATAAACAGGCAAAAAGCAAAAGCTGAGAGCTAAACACAGCGGCATTCAGCAGATGAAGAAAAGAGCATGTTAAGAACATTCTGTTATGCGAGTAATTTTTGGTGAATTCTATGTTTTCTTTTCACATTTCGCTGATGGGTTATCTGAAGATTCGGAAAATAACTTTTATATCAGAAATAAGCCTATGCCAAGTATATGTTTCATATTAGTGCCATAAAAAATGACAAATGTGGTTGATTACTCGAATTCAAAGTAGATCAACAGAATAGCATAAGGTAAGATTTTGTAGCAAAATAATGACTACTTTCTGCATATTCTGGCTGAATCAAGACGCGAAATTACACTCAGAACACCACAACGAGAAGGCATTTGTGTAGTGCGAAAGATAAATTACAGAAGAAGTTGATTTTCACTTAGAAATGGAACCTTTGAAGCTTTATCGTTCAAAACAGCGAGCAGACCCAGAGTCGCGAAGAACCAACCCTAAACCACCACACAACCAGAGCCGTGCCCAGAGATACTGAGCCCGTAAGCGGATTTAAAAAAAAACCCTAGTTAACCCGTTTTTGTGTTAAAAGCTCTAGTTAACCATCTTCATCTCATATTCATATAAAATCAATCCAATTTATATAAAACAAAATAATAATATTATCATTTCAAATTCATATAAACTCGTAATAACAGTCATTATCGTAAACAAAATAAATACAAATTAGAATAACAAATCACAAATCAAACTAAATCTGACATTAGATGAAACAAAATTATAATTAAAAAAATTAACAATTGACAAATAGCTATTGATTATGTCGTTGTTCAGAAAGAATAAAATGAGAGTAAGAAGTTTCCAAAACTTTAACAAAGAAATAAGAAGTTGAAATGATAATTTTAATTTTAATTTGTCTAATTATTTAGGTGGCTATGTATGTTGTCTAATATTGTATTGTGTTATTAATTTAGTTGCTAAATTTATCAAAGAAAACGTTTTATTTTCAAACTAAATCTCAATTTAAATAATTAATAATGAACAATTAGTTTAAATTAGACCCTTCAATTTTTATTTTTAAAAAATAGCCCATAAGCTAATGTATCTATGTTTTGTACATAGACAGGGGCCTGCACACAACCATCCCAATGCTTCATACTGTTTCAGTCATCCAAAATCAATCAGAGAAAACTCAATTTCGTGGAAGTGTTTGATGTCGTCGAGGAAAGAGAGACCAAAACGTTTTCTCCAAAAAAATTTTCTTCTTCCAATTAGATCATGCCACACGTCACTTTTGAACCTCTCCAAAAAAAGTTTCTACAAACCCTTATATTAGAACCGGTTCAAAATTAAAGTGGGCTTCTGTCATTAAATAAAATCCAAAAAATATTATAAACTCCATGTATGAACCCATTAGAACCCTGCGTTGGACTTGGTCTAAGAGAGATCCGATGTAACATTACTCCAAAAGAGAAACATTATTCTAAAAAGAAAGACAGTTTTTTTTTTGCTTTTTCTTTTCCCCAAGTTTTTTTTCATATATTGGTATATAGAAACACACATAACAAAACATTAAAACATGATAATGATTATTATCATCACCCAGTATTATTCGAAACAGTAGTATAACCACTTTAACCAATAATTAACCACTCATAATCAGTGAAACTTGTCACTAGTTAATCATGGTTATTGATTAACAGTTTGGGGAAGCAATCTTGCAACTGTTGGCGACTTTCTTAGCGTTTGGAGAGCTAACGTATTGGCGGAGGCTAGGGTTTCTCAGGTAGCCACAAAGGCATGGCTTCTGCTCTCTCAGTTTAGCGCAGCACGACGCAGATGGCGGCGAAGATGACATAAACGCCGGCGCACATGAAGCCAGCTCCGTCGGCGAACACGTCACTCCTTCCGCCACGGGGACTTTAGCCACCGTCATTAGGAGAATCGCTGCAGCGAGAGCGAAAACGGGAACCATCATCAACTTCATCATTTTTCTTATTCTTTGATTCTCTGTGACTGTGTTTGTGTTGTGTGGTTGTTCTGAGTCTGATTTCTGTTTGTTCTATCTATACCTATGTAGAGTTCTTTACTATTTATAGAGAAGGGAAAGTGTGATAAAGCTTTCTCTTTTATTTTTATATATTTTTTACCATGTTTTAGTTTAAATTCCAATTTGTTTATTATAATAATCAACTGTCGACATTAGTTTATTCATTTTTTTGGGTTGAGGAATTTTGCTTCACTTCATTCATTGTAAGTGTTCTAGTTCAATCAATTCCGTGCACTAATTATTGAAACATGACAAAAAAATGTTGGATACTATGTAGAATTCCTGTAACACATGTGATATCAGACATCTTGTTTCGATCTTTGTTTTCTTTCGACCATTTTGTTTCATTCAACAATATTGATGTGAGTTTTGCTATAAGATATTTTCGTATATGTACAAGATATCTAAAACTAGGTATGGCTTATAATCTGAGAAAGAATTTACAAAATATGAGTTTCTGTTTTCAAGGTTTCTACTTCTCTAGCAGTCTAGCTATCTCAGTTCCCTAACTTTTGTCTATCCTTATCAGTTATCACTGGTTTGTGAGACACATACTGACTCTACAATTTTTTTGCTAAAAACATGTATTAACATAATTACAAGAAAATCAATCGATATAGCATCCATGAAAGCAATTCTATTCACTTGGATAGTTGGATTACCCCCAAATAACTGACAACCGCGGGACCATAAAAATTATTTCATTTAAAAGAAAATGTTAATGACTTTGACCATTTAATTGCTTTCGATGGTGTTACCCACTTCTTATTCTTCACCATATATTTGCATTATCTTTTGATTCCACCGCTTTTAATTACATACACCACATACACTTGCACTGCAATTTAAATGCATTTTAATTCTTATAAAACCACTGATGATTGACAGAAAATCGGCCAAATACGAGATGCGCTTAATTGACAGAAAATCACTGATTTGATGCTCTTTTGAAATTAAGCCAGATTATTTAAATTTTTATCTGTTGCTTTTCAACATAAGTTCAAGAAAATATCAGTTGTTATATTAGGTTATTTGAAAAACAAACTTTTCACCAAAACAAAAAAAAAATTGATCTACAGAAAAAAACGAATTAATCTACGATTTTTCTTTTGTAGTAAAGATAAGAATTGTTCTACAGGAAAAAAAGAAGAAGAAATTAATCAGCGATTTTTATTTGGTAGTAAAATATAAGAATTAATCTACAGGAGAAAAGAAGAAGAAAAGAATCTACGATATTTTCTATGTTTTCTATTTCTTTTTTGTTTTTGTTTTTTTGGTAGTACGATTTTTCTTTTGTAGTAAAAGCAAGAATCGATCTACGAATTAGTCTATAGTCTAGGAAATTTTCTGCCAAAAGCAATTCACACTATCCAGAACAATGGAAACATGTTTCTTTGCATGTTGGTAATATTTTTTTTTTCAATTAAGTTAATATATGCGCTTCGAAACTCTATGTTATTGGTAGTTTCCGGTTGTATTCTAAATTACTAATAAATTTCATATTTTCAAATATTTTGTGTACATAACTACACATATATACATGTTGATAACTCTAATATAATGAGCATAAAACTCTCCAAGACTACCTACTCTGTGAAAAGTCAAAATATTGGTTATTGTTGTTAGTAGTACCACTACCGACTAAAATATTATTTAATGCCATCTCTTCTCCCTCGCACAGACAAAGCAATATTTATAATCTCTAGCACTCTAATCATATACCTAAAAATGATTCCAAATAGATTATGATGATTTAAGCATTAAGGCTTCACTCTCTGGTGAGTGCCTGAGTGGTGAGTAGTGAGTGGTGCCACAACCATCAGTCATGATTATTGCTTGCCGATTTATTTGAGATTATATTTTTCCGATCCAAGCTCTATTGCTATTTCTATGTATTCGCTTTTTATTGAAAATTCTCACCAAAGTAAATTGTACAACAGTTAACTTTTCCCAATGTGTTTCGACTTCTTTTTCAGTTGTACTATAGTTCTTTTTATAATGATTTGTATCAGACCAAGCATATTTTAAACCATCACAATACGATCTCTGATCTCTGCATTAGTCTTAGATTTGTTCGAAAGCCTGATCATCGAGATGGGATGTAAAATGTTCTCTTCCATTAGGACTGGGCGCGGAGCGGATATCCTGGATTTTGAGGATATCCGTGATCCGCTCCGCTCCGTCCGGATAATCATGTTTCTGATCCGTATCCGTTCCGTAACTATTCGGATATCCGTTTTCCGGATATCCGCTAAAAATTTAAATATTTGCCGGATATCCGATCCACCCCATAAAAATATTTAAATAATAATATATTTAAAATAAAATTTTAAAAAATCAAAATTTAGCTAAAAATGACAATATTTTCTTTAAAAATATATTTTTTTACTTAACTTATTAAGTTTTAATATTTATAATAATCAAATTTATAAAAAAACTCATAAAAATTATATTTATATATAATAATTATACATTTTATATGAATTATTATCTATCTATATATACATATATACTTATATCGGAGCGGAGCGGATATCCGTTTTGATTTATTTTAGTATTTGTGATTTGCTCCGTTTTTAACAGATATTGAATTTTAGTATTTGCTTTGCTCCATAAAATTACGGATATCCGAAATCGAGACGGATAACGGATCGAAGCAAATATAACGAAGCAAATATTGTTAGTTAAAATGTTTTCTCGATTATACGTTGAAGTAGTTGTTTATCCTCTTCCTATCAGTTAGTTAAAATCTATTCACTATTATACATTTTAGCAATCCTAACTCTTCCAACCTGCACATATACCACAAACACCAAAATTGAGTAAGTAAAACATCAAAAAACACTATATCACTGATTCATGGTATAGACAAACAACAACCACATAGTCTATCAACGAAAAATACATCTCAAACTAACCATTACTTATAGTAATATAGTTAACAAATTTAACGAAAATTGGCATCACCAACGACACAGTAATGGCTATGCTTTAACATCTTCCTATTTTTTGATTCAGACCCACGAAAACAAAAATAGGCTACATCGCGATAGGGTTACACCTTTACCAACAACACTAATTACCATAATCCCCAACAAGAATGGATTATATTCCAAATGTAAATTCCAACTTAACCCCTTTAAACATATTCGTATACTTGCATTATTTCGGCCCAGTTATCCATCACAAATACAGATATACGACTCTTATTCCAGTTATTCTCTTTACCATATTTTCACTGATTCATATGATTAGGTTACTTAATTTGGTCATCTACCTAATCAACTCTATTTTTATCATACTGTTTTCTTCGTGGCTATATAGTACTACACACTACAATCTAAAATTTTCACATTACGTGAATATTGTTATTTTCTTGGTTGAATTCTCTGTTCTGTTTTTTTTTTTCTTATTTTTATAAAATAACTGAAGAAGAAAAGGCACAACATGACAGCTTTATTCCTTACAGATGCCAAAAAAAGAGCTTTATTCCTCACCAAATAATATAAACTTTTTTTTAACAACCAAGTAATATATACATCTTTAGTCCATCACAATAACATCTTAAATTATTTCGATAATTAATAATTTAGAGTTTAATCGCAATATTTTTCATCAGCTCATCATTAAGAGAAGTCAACACCAGCTTTTTGCGTCCGCGTTTAGGACGATCGAGTCGCAGATCGGAGGAATAGGAATGAGGAAAGTTTGGGAAATTTATGAAATTCTATAAAAGTTTTATAATCACCGGTTTCCTTTAGAGCAATTATGAGCTTTGCAATTCACGTCATCGGAATCAATATCCGAAAACGACGAATAATCAGTGGCCAAAACCCTCCTGCTAAAGCTTCTGCCGCAGCCGCCACAACCACTTAATTGGCGTCTGGCCTTTAGTATGGCTCGCCATCCGATTGTACAAGGCTGTTTGATGCAGCACCATAGAACACAAAGAGGACAATAGACGCATAAGCAACAAACGTTAAACGCGACTTCGGACGGACCAGTTAAAGCTGCGTTTGCGTTTGCGATTACGGTTTGAGACCTTGTAGGCGGCGAGACGGTGATCTGATTTCTTGCTCTATTTTCTTCTTCGATTCCTCTTTGTTGGAGTAGAGTTTTGTGGTCTTTCATCGCGTTCTTGAAAGAAAAGCTCAATGATTCTTGATGGTTTTAAATGTTGATGAATGATTTCTTAACGTAGACGTTTTTCATTTTTTATATTTATTTGTAATTTTAATACTTGTTTCCTTTTTTTTTTGTAATTTTAATACTTTCTTCTGTCGCTTTACAAACTATATAAAAATTGCAGACGGTTTTACGTATGTGGAAATACTGCCGACTTAGCTGACATAAATAATAGGTATCTTATCAATATTCATTTAAGACCTACCTGTTGCTATTATCCCAATATTGATATAACTTTTTGAATCATTCAAAGCCACTCGAATACTAATTTTTTATTTTAATATAAATATACAAGATGTTGACAAAAAAAAAATGGTATACAGAATAGAATCTACAAAACCTTGGCCACAAAGAAATCTGAACACTTCAACAAAACATTAAAAAAAATTAGGATTCTTTTACTCTAAAGTGAGAAAGTATGCGCAGTTACATTTCTATTTAGATAAATTTCTTTATTTCTCGTAATTTCCATATCAACTTGGTAATTTGAAATGGAATATATATATTTCTGCAACACCTTTTACCAAAGATTAGAGTTTCATAACAATATGGGTAACTCAGTTGGAATGCTTAATTTAGCAAGTTCAGCTATATACTTGAGCCAAAACCATGACATATTGTTGGTAGTAGAATAGTAGAAGACAATTGAAATATATTTAGTGCAAAAAGTAGACTAATTTTAGAAATTTGAGCCTGGTAGGTGAATTCTATAATTGCTTGAGTGTCTTACTTGTCAAAAGCTAAGATATAAATAATACTATAATCTTTAATTAAATAAACCTCTCAAGCACCCAAAAGGCATCGACAACACAAGTCATCAGCATCATGGGTCCTAGGATCGAACCATTGGATCACCAAAAAGACACGATCAATGAACAAAACCGCAACACTGACCTATCCATTCGTGGATAGAGGGAGATAACATACAGCAGAAAAAGGTTTTAATTTATGTTATCTGATATAATCTTGGACTTAATTGACCTTGGCATGGAGTTATATGCACGAGCAAGAATACTAGATGGAAAGATAATCCTATAATCACTAGAGCAAATATATATACGCACTTTTTTTTTTCCGCTAGCTGCATTTATGAAATATCTCATAATAGGTATGCTAAAAGACATTCAGTAGAGTAAACTATGTACAAGATATTCCTTAGTACTATTCTTAATAGATGTATCGGTTGAAATGAGTTTTGATCGGGCCGGTTGTGGGTCAAATCTATTGGGTCTTTTCTGACTTATTGGTGATGGTTTTCAGATGTAATGTTATCTGGCACTTCCTTTGAAATGTGAGGAATTTCTCTTTGTTACTCTGATTCGAGCAGGTTTTGAGAACTTCCTACCGTTGGTTCCAAATGTAAGCTCCAGTTTAATCTTTCTAAGTGGTCTGTTATATTATTTTAAAGTTTCATTTTCAAACTCTCTATTAGTATTATAAATAATATTTTTGTTATATCAATATGTATAAATAGAAGAGAATAGTTAATTTTCACACTCTCTGTTAGGTTTTGTAAATAAATGTTTTGTTGATCAATAAATTTAAATAGGAAACGATAGTGAAAATGTCAAAGGTGAGGTAGATGGTTATGCATCCTTCAAAAATAAAAATAAAAATAAACGCATAGATATATCTTTGAATGGTTCGAAGCCTGCCACACATTTGTAAGATCCACACCTTTCAACACATTCAATTATTTGATTTAACATATACTCGAAACGTGTCGAAAAGACATATATAAATAATATGTATCATGTAAATATCTAAGGATCTCATCATATATGTAAAGTTCTCTCTCTATTTCCGTATTTCGGTCTTTCACATGTGCATTGTAATTTCATTTGGAAACAGTTATAATGGTTCGCTTATCACACTCCCATCACATAATCATAAAATCCCAAATTTACGGTTTTTTTTTTATGATTCTTGAAAAGAAGAAGATGCAGTCATGATTCTCTTTGAATTGTTCCTCTTCGATGGTATCGCTCTTCCTTGTACGTCGTGGGACGTCGTTTCTGCATGTACTGATGCACGGATCTTCCACTCTAATGAATCACGTGTTAAATTTTCGTTTGAGATTCATATTCAATTTAAAAAAATTTACCGTCGGATTAAACCAATTAAAATTAACATTTTGTTTGATTATGAATTAGCTATTTTTTATTATTTCATGGTAGGAAGTCACCATTTAAATGTTCTCGTCATGCTCTTGATTTGCAGTTAACTCCTACGAGTCATAAGAGAAGACGTGAATTTTTATGTAGTTTCGCATGTTAACTGAGGTTAGGGCATCTTCAAATCACCTCTATTTTTGACTCTAAATACTATTTTAGAGAAAAATTTAGCCCACCTCTATTTTTAACTCTAGAATAGCATTTCTCTATTTTGTTCTCTTTGAAAGAACTCTATTTTCTACTGTAAACTAGGGTTGAACTTTTTTATTTATAAATTAGTCATTTAAGTTTTAAATTTTTTTATTTATGACTTAAACAAACAATATAAATGATATAGATTCAAATTTAACAATAAAACTTAACAAAGTTAATTTCAGATGTATTATACATAAAAAATGTCAATATAACATTATACTCTTATTCATTTTAACATAAAAAGACTAATGACTTACTACATTAGTGACAAGACAAAAATATAGTAATAGTATTTTAAACCAAAATCTACTCTATTTTTTCATTTTTAATTGATAAAATTAATTTTAATTATTGAAGAAATGTTTATTTTAAATAATATCATAATGTATAAAAGTTTTGTAAATAATAAAATAAATAGGGTTAAATTGTATTTCTTTACAAATAGAATGTATTACTAATAAAATAAAAATAGATTTAAAAATAGAGGAATAAATTAGAGAAAAACCGACGTATAGAGTTCTACTATTTTAGAGTTAAAAATAGAGGAATATATTGGAGATGGTCTTAGAGATCAATTCTTGTTAAACCTATATCTTACTATTAATTAATACTATATATGTGGATTAATCAAAATTCTAAATCTGATATTATCTAGTCGAGATTTCTAAATCGAAGCTTATATATAAGGGAGGAACTTTCAAACACCTAAGGTGAATGGGAATCTAAGGCTACAACAAAGACTATTTAATTAATAATATTTATGGTGTGTAAACAATTATTGGGTTGAGTTTCTTCTTAGGCTATGTTGGATAAGTTACATTATAATCACTACAAGAAAACATGGATTTAACGACCTCATATACAGTTGCTAATTAGTCGCTAACACTACATTTACGACCGAGTTTCGACTAATACTATCAGTCGCTAATATTGAGTCGCTAAATACATTAGTCGTTTATCAGTCGCCAAATACCGACTAACTGTTGACGAAGTTAATCAGTCGCATATCAGTCGTTAGATTAGCGACTGAATCACGACTGTTTTTTGCGACGTATTTACGACTGAATGGCGACCATATAGTTTGATAACTGAATGGTATTTGGTGCAATTTAACGACTGTTTTGCGACGAATTTATGACTATGTTCCGACTGATTTACGACTGCATTGCGACGGCTTCAATAAATGAAAACAAAATCAAGTTTTACTATTTGATTCCTCCTAATCTGATAATTTGAATCCATTCTACATTTTAAATAACAATTAAACAGCAAAAAAATCATTCAAATGTAAAATGAAAAAAGTCATTATATTACATAATACCATTGTTTTAAAAAGAGACATACAACCATTGTTCCAAAAGTTACTAAAACCAAAGATCAAATGGTTACATATTTAACCATTGAGATAAGTTCAAAAGAGTCTTAAGAGCCGAGATACTTAAAAAAAGAGACGTAGAAAAACCTTAAGAGTGAGTTGGATCACTTGGCTTGTTGCTCTGCTTCAGTCAAATACCTTTCCACCATAGATAACTTGTCCAGCTTGGCTTGTTGCTCTGCTTCACGCTTGGAGTTCTCAGCGCTTGTTCTTCTATTTTGCGATGAACTTCTTGTAGCTACTCTTCCAATCCCTTGTATGTTGAAGAGCTTCCTGGGCATTTCCTCTTTCCATTGACATGTGTCTCTGAAAGACTTCCAATTCCATAAGGAATTCCTCGCTCATTTATGAAAGTCGACTGCAAAAACAAAATAAGGATCAAAGCATCAATGAATATATATTAACATCAAAGCATCAAACAAAGTAACAACTTGAAATCTATAGAAGCAAAGCATAATATAAAAGAACACATCTAAAATAAAAACAAAGACTTTACCTGAAGAAAAATCTCATTCTCCTCTTCTACGGTTAGCCCCAACGATGGTGAAGTACCATCTGAAGTCTCTGAGTCTATCCCGAGGTCAGCCAACTTGGATTCCAGGTTCTTCCTATATGCGTCAGCCACATTCTTGGACTTTCGGTCTACAAACGTTCCATCTCGTTTTGTATGAACCTTGATGAAAACTTCACCAAGATTCACCGGTCTTCCCAACTCTTCTTCCTGAAATGATAACAATATAAAGAAAGAGTTACTTCCCATCATTCTCCTCTGACTAAAGATCATATATAATTTATGAAAAAGTTAAAAATCGATATACTTACCATTGCTTGTTGGATTTGGAGGCATGACTTCTGCCCTGAGAAGTGAACATGAGGACCAAGTCCATTACGCTCAGACATCCGAGCAGCTGATGTGGTGGAACTCTTCTCTTTGGCTTCTTCAGTGTCCCAATACTCTGTCATTTGTTTCCAAAGAGTATCACCAATCCAGTTTGGTTGTTCTTGAGAAGCCCTAACCTTGCTGACCATGTCTTTCATTCGGAGGAGGCATACTCTCTCAAACCTTTCTTGAACCACACCGGTTAATAAAGGATCCCATGGGTTTTCTACCAAAATAATAGAGAAGATGATGTTAGTGAGCAATAAAAAACAAATGGCTCATATGTATCAACACAAAAAAGGAGAATATGGATAGAGAACCTTACCGCGAATTCAACAAAGAATCTTTCCTGTCTCTCCCGAGGCACACATGGCCAGCTATAAAATGGG